GAGAAGCCTGACGGCCTTTAGATCATGTCTCCCGTGTTGTTGTCGGGATTACATTGCTGATGGATGACTTACATGTCAGAGTGGATAATAAGGCGTCAACAGACGGCCACAGACAATCACCAGAAGTACCTACAGAAACTCAAACTTTTGTCAACAAACCACGATCAAAGAAGAAACAGCGACTTTTTGAGGGTCAGGCGTATACCGATGTCATTTTTCTGAGTGACAACAAAACCCTTGCGCTACAAACCTAATTTTACGTACAGTTGGTATTTAGTTATTTCTCTGAACCCGAACGACTCTGAATGAAGTCTCGACGGCGGTGGTCAGTATGTTTACCTTTGTTTTCAAACTACAGTTGCGCTGTTTACTGTTACAGTAAGCTTACCTGGCGCTCCCTTGTATCGGAGGTGTCTTAGGAAGAGAGATAAGATCTGAGGAACTGTTTATATGTTCCTTGAGGTAGATTCGGATCTGTTACTTTCTTGCTCACCAAATTGAAACAACACAAAGGGCCTCGACTGGGCATTCTCTCATTGCTTTCGAAGTAAACAAGCAGGCGATCGGTTGCCCAAAGGGTGCATAGGCATACACACCGTTTGGAGGCACCAATTGGAGATGTCCTCTCTGGATAGTATGGGCCAATCGGAGATGCCCTCTCTGGACAACATGGTATACTTATTCCGTACTTCTGAAATCTTCATTTCTGAGACAGAATATGTTCATCTTTAATTAACTGTGAAATCGTAATCATCTGAACTGGGCGTATGCAAAAATATTCTGGATGACGAAATCTTTCTGATGGTGACAAATACATGTACTGCTATTTCTTAGCACATTTTCGTCATCATTTCATTCTTAATTTCGCATTGTAAATAGCCCCAAAACATGCACACGAGGAGTACCTTTATTTTTTGGTACCACTGATAAATATCTAGACCCAGCCTACGGTACAGGCAACCGTTTTCCGTCAAATGCATCGTATATTTGCCTCACAGATATCAGTATAGAAGCTGATTCAACTTACTAGTACTACGTTTTTAAAAAAATGGCCAGAACGTTGACATAGAAAATCTAGTTTTACCACCCTGGAATCGCCTTGGTTGCCTTTAATTTATCACACTAAACTGACAGGGTTAAAACGGATAGTACAGTACATTCACGACCTACCCCCTGTCAGAGTTTACAGTGATAAGTGCATTCATTGCAGCGATTTTCAGATACTTGTAGCGGATTACTCTCCTAGTAGTACCCTGTTGTTACTACGCTAGCTGGGTCCCTGAAATGGACCTTTCTACCAACACAGTCAATATCCAGACACTGAGTCCCTCATAAATAGAAACCATTGAGACGTGCTAGGCGCCTGCCCACTTATACGAATGCTTCACCGAGCTCTATAACAAGCTGGAGTTGACCGCTGCACCTGGCACAGGAAATAGCCTGTAAAACGAAGGCAAACAGACGGAATTCCACTCCATATTCAACCACTTCTACACTCCACAACACAAGGCCAAGAGCGCCAGTGTTTTGACGTGGTCGGCTAGGCGATACAGGTCGGAGTTGAGCGTAGGGGGCATACCTGGGGCGTTGCAATTGGCAGTGTTGTTGTTGTGCAATTCTGTACTACGAGTATATCATCAGTACATTCGGAAGTGTCTGCCGTCTATTTGACTTTGATCCGAAATGTGTCGGCTGCATTTGAGCTCTACTCACATTAAGGTATCCCGATGACTATTTTCTTCGCTTTAGAGAGTTTCGGTCCCGTTTTTTTTGGCGCAGGGCTTTTGTAGTAGCAGTCCTAGTCGATCTTTACAGCTAGCCTCCTCTAGGCTTCAGACCTCTCTATTTGGCCGATTTCTACTCTTTCCAGCCGCCATCCGAAGCCTGGTAGAGGCCACTTCCAGCCGCCTTTTCTGTCGTACTAGCCTTAGCATGCGTCGGGCGGGAGCTCGAGGCTTGGCGGCCGGGCACACTGGCTCAATAGCGCCGTGGAAATGGGGGAGCCACGACGGTCTGTTCACCAGGGTAAAATTGCGGTAAAAACCAGACTACGCAAAGTATAATATCCAAGCAACTCTTTGAGTGGCTGCAATACAGTGTCAAATCGGCAAGACCCAGGCAGTATCCAATAGGTCCCATAGGTCGTCCAATGGTTACAGGTGGCCAATATAGACTCTCTTTGCCCCCAAAGAATCTGCTTGGAGATTACGCAAAAGTACAAATGTCTGCAGCCCAAGTAACGCACCGAGCAAGGAAAAACTACTAGTATACTGCCTCCCAAACACCTTTACTCCGATAACCGTTCATGTTGTGACGACGGGCCCACTTAATCCACCTGCTGTGCACACAGAGATCCCCACAGGTCACAGGTCATGGCTCTCCCGGTACCTCGCACAATGGGCTCGCACCGCGATGTTTTTAGCGATACAAACATTCCCTGCTACTGTTTTACTTCCTATGTATTCCTCCCAGAAAAAATAGCAGTGAAATAAAAGTTTTGTTCAAACGAACAGAAACAAACAAGCCATTCCTTTGTACAGTTAAGCTAGGGTGGAGTAACTGTTCTAGTGTGTGAAAATGTTGATAATTTGCGGTACACAATGCGGATACGTGCTTCCCTCTTCTGGCCTATTCTTACAGAGCTTATGCAGGGAATTGTTGCCAAGGTCAAAGGCGACGGTTACAGTAAACGGCTACACAATGGCGACCACAACACGCTACAGGAAGGAACCATGTTTGAGCAAAAGCAAGAAACTAGTTTTGAGCAAGATACCGTAAGACAAAACAAAGGATTCTTTTCGGCGTCTCTGAGACAACTGAATCTTCTGAAAACGTACAGTAGTGTCGAATGTTGTGAAACAATAGGATGTGCTCATTCCCACGGTCCGAAAAGCAGCGCATATATAGTACTGATATAATGTTACACCAACATACCTGCCAAATAGCGGAAAATAACATGATTGACACATACCATACTTATCACAGGATCCCCAATACGTCAGAACTGCAACACCTAAAGTTTACCAGGAACAACTAGGCTTTGTCGTATTTTTTTTACGAGGAAAAAATTTCGAAAGTGTTCTTTTGTTGGACAAGTGGGCAGCCACGTGTTCTCGACAGGAGGCTTGCTATAGAAAAGTGACGTCAGAGTTTGTCATACCAGGATCCATGTTGACGTATGACGTTAGCTGTGTTCAACGTTTGGATTGGCTGTTCACGATGTTCGAATTTTGTTGATTCATCCATAGTTTTATTTTTCATAGAAGCAACAAGGATTGCGGCGACAACCATAGATATTTTAGTATTTGTGAGCTGATCATACACATTGTGAACCCAATGTATACCTTTCCTATATCTGTCAGTTAAGTTTGGTTCTATCTTTTCTTATCTTATCTTTTCTTTTTGGAGGAAAATTTTTTTGAAAATTTTTCCTGAAATTTTTTTTTGTGGAAAAAAGTTTTTCGGGAAATTTTTTTTTAAATTTTTGGGCAAAAAATTTTTCGGGAAAATTTTTTTTGGGTGAAAATTTTGTTTTTTAAACATATACCATATTCCTGCGTCGCTATCATTTTCCGAGATAAATACCTTGAGGCCGGGTGAAACAATGTTGCATAGCAAGTTTGTCAAAACTGGCCGCCGTTTAGACTGGCATGTTGTCGCGATCGGAAAGATAACATTGACGAGAATTCCAGTTTGGAGGACGAACAAAAAATTGTAACTATTAGCAGTGACTCTATGATGGCCTCTCCTTGCGTGCGAAGAGATTAGTGTTGTATAATCCTCTCTAAATCCCGTCCCCGGTGCTTCATTATGCCGATTAATTTGTGGGATTTGCGAGGATTACATCTGATTAGTCTCTACGGACACCTGTTGTCAACTCTTCAACTCAGAATTCTTCCTTATTTTCAACTCACTACAACAAAGAAAAAAGCTGATGCAACAATGTCAATGACACAGATCATTAATATCATGTCCAGACAGTATGACAAGTCATTTCATAATGTATCCTCAATAATTACTGCCCGCGGAGTCGTGACCTAGTTGTTGTAGTGTCTCATATTTTTGTGGTGCCCTGATAAGAATGCTGTAGTCGCAGCACCACTTTATTACTGTGGCTGCTGCTATTCTGCATGGGATGGACGTATGAGGAAGTGTTACCGAACTCACCTCTGTTGGTCTTCAGGGAAGAAGTCGTACAAACTGATTGGAATACGTCATAAATGTTTAATCTTCAGTAGAGTTAGTAATACAAACTGAAATCCGCCCTGTTCTACTTCCGCCGTATAAGTTCGATGTTTCTGAATTTGCTGGTAGAGTTCTTGTTGGTAATTGTATTCCTAGGGGCAGTTTGATTTCTTGATCCCAATTCGAGGAACAAAGCACAAGTTCTTAGCAAGTTCCTGGTGAATTCTTGGCTAGTTCTTGGCGAGTTCCTGGCGAGTTCTTGACGAGTTCTTGACGTAAAACTGGTATGGTCTCATCGTCCTTCCACAGAATATCCTCTGGTATCTCCTGGACCCTCTCTATCCAGGCCTTTGATAATCCTTTTCTGGATTTCCTGGATCCTTGTATCCAGGCCTCTGGAATACCCCTTTTGGATTTCCTGGATCCTTGTATCCAGGCCTTTGTAATCCTCTTCTGGTCTTTCCTGGGACTTCTGTGCCCAGGCCTTTTTGGTCCTAACTCACGAACCACACCAGACTTCTGTCTCTCTGCTTGTGCCTTATGCACTGCCTGTCGCCTTGTCTACCTAAGTCCCAGACAGACGGGCTCCCCACCCTGGTGCTCAGGGGGGGCAGGGATTTGGCGGGAAGCTATACTAACTTAATCTACTGGCGGGAAATTCAAATTTGGAAGTTGGCACTTACACTGGCCCCCAAATTGTCCGTTGGGCAATTTTACCTTACACATTACGAGCCAACTTCCTTATAACATTAGTAACTTAATAACTCATCGTTAGTAGAAATAGCATGCAATAGTTTCCTACTTTAACTTCCAGCTTACAGCAGTACACATAGTTTGTCGATTGGTCTCTCGAGGACGTTGTTTTGCGTCTTTACTTTTACTCTACGCACTAGTCCGTCGCTGTGGTGAGTCACTTCCAGCACCCTGCCTAACGGCCAGCAACTTCGCGGTGAGGTTTCATCTTTCAGGAGAACTATATCTCCCACGGCAAGGTTTTGCCTTTGTTTGCCCCATTTCTGCCGCTCCTGTAGTGACGTGAGATACTCCTGCGACCATCGTTTCCAGAATAAGTCGGCAAGATACTGCACCTGCTTCCATCTGCGTCTGGCATACAGGTCGTTCTTGCTGGTTAGGTTTGGCGGCAGCGAAGTCTTCATTTTCATAGTCAGGAGACGGTTGGGCGTCAACGCTTCCAGGTCATCAACTTCATTGTTAACTGCCGTTATTGGTCTTCCGTTTACTATGCTTTCAGCTTCGCACAGCAAAGTGTGTAATCCTTCGTCATCTAGTGGATTCTTCTTCATGATCGCATTCAGCACCTGTCTTATTGTGCGTATCTGTCGCTCCCAAACGCCGCCGAAATGCGATCCTTTAGGTGGGCTGAACTTCCAGTCCACTTCCTTCTGCAGTAAGGCGTCCTTAATCTTGTCTTGGTTCCACCCTGCTATCTCCTTCTTTAGCTCGGCCTTTGCCCCCACGAGGTTGGTTCCGTTATCTGACCATATTTGTTTGACTTGTCCTCGTCTTGCGATGAATCTCCGCAAGGCATTGATGCAGCTATCCGTGTCTAGGGAGTCTGCTTTCTCCAAGTGAACTGCTCGGGTTGTGGTGCAGGTGAAGATGACTCCATATCGCTTCACGATACTGCGACCTCTTTTTACTTCAAAAGGGCCGAAGTAGTCAACGCCTACATTGGTGAACGGTGGTTCATCCGGTGTGACTCTGTGTGATGGTAGATCGGCCATCTTCTGTTCTCCCGTTTTGCCGTGATGACGTCGACAGGTAACGCACCTGCTGATTATCTTTCTGATCAGCGTGCTACTCTGTGGTATCCAATAGCGCTCTCGCACTTTGGCCGTCACGTAGTTTCTCCCCATGTGGCCTACTTCCTCGTGTATACTCCGTATGATCAGCGGCGTTACTGCTGACTCCTTAGGGAGTATTATGGGATGCTTCTCTTCTTCTGACAGAGACGACATGTCAAGTCTCCCGCCCACTCTCAGCAAACCGTCTTCTCCTAATATTGGGTTTAGCTTGTAGACGCTGCTGGTAGATGCTACTCCTGCATCCTTCGACCTCTTTAACGATACTATCTCCTGATGGTAGTATCTGTGCTGCACGTGTTTGAAAATAGCTCCTTCAGCTTTGTTTTGAGATCGTGCATTGTCAATCCGACTCCAGTGGCCGTTGTTCTTCTGCCTGAGGGCTTGCTTTACCTTGATGATCCAGGCCACTGCTTTCTTGAGACGGTGCCAACTTGAATAATGCACTATTAGCGCATCCATAGGGCTCTTCTGAGCTTCCTCCACTCCAATGGCGTTCACCTTAACTTCAGGGTCCCCCTGTGGCGGCTGCTGAAGACCCTCTGGCATCTGTGGCCATTCGCTGGGTGAGCACCACAGGAAGGGTGGGCCATTTACCCACCTGTCGTTTTCCACGAACTTCTGGATCGTCTGTCCCCTCGATGCATCGTCTGCTGGATTCTGTTGTGATTCAACATAACGCCATTGTTTTGGATCGCTGGCGTTTCTTATTGCTGTTAGCCGGTTGGCTACAAAGGTGTGATACCTTGTTCTCTCATTGTTGATATAGCGTAGCACTGTTGTGCTGTCAGTCCAGAAAAACGTCTCGTCGACGTTGACGTCCAACTCCCTTTGGAGCGTAGAGTTTACACGGACAGCAATTTCTGCTGCTTTAAGCTCCAATCTTGGAATTGTGTGAGCCTTCAATGGTGCTACTCGGGCCTTGCCCATTAACAAAGTACAGTGTACTCTGCCTTCTTGATTTCCTATACGCATGTACGAAGCAGTTCCGTATCCTACTTCACTCGCGTCCGCGAAGTGGTGTAGCTGTACTGACGTAGGGGTTCCAAATCCAGCGGGTTTGACACATCTGCTCACCGTGAAACTGCGACTCAACAATGGTAATTCTACTTCCCACTGTCGCCATGATTCGATATGCTTGTCTGGAATCTCCTCATCCCAAGTTGTCCCTTCCCTGCACAGGTCTTGTAAGAGCAGTTTGGGTTGCAGCGTGGCAGGAGCAATCAACCCTAGGGGGTCATACATCGAGCTTACTGTAGACAGAATTCCCCTCTTGGTCGCCGGCTTGTCTTTTACGACGTTGCGAAAGCCCAAGGTATCTGTCTGCACATTCCATAGCATGCCCAATGTGCGTTCCACTGGCATTGTGTCAAGGTCGAGATTCAGGTCCCTAACTTCTTCTGACATCTCTGCTACTGGTACGGTCTTGAGTACCTCTCGACTGTTGCTTACCCACTTGGTAAGTCTGAATCCTCCTTCTTTACATGCTTCCCGCATGTCCTTGGCTAAATGTCCTCCTTCTGTGACTGTGGAGGTAGATTTGAGCAAGTCGTCAACGTAGAAGTTGTTCCGGATTGATTCCAATACCTTTTCTGTGTATCGGCCTTCTCCGTCCTCAGCCAACTTCTTTAACGCAAAACTTGCACAACTTGGCGAAGATGTCGCCCCAAATACATGTACTGCCATCCGGTACTCTTGTAGTGGCTTGTCTAAGTTGCCTTCTGGCCACCAAAGGAAACGTAGGTAGTCTCTGTCTTCTACTGGTACCTTGACTTGGGAGAACATTGCTTCTATGTCTGCCATCAAGGCCACGGGCTCTTGCCTGAATCGGGTCAACACGCCAACCAGAGTACTGGTCAGGTCTGGACCTTGTAGTAGCTCTTTGTTCAGGGATGTGCCTGCATACGGTGCGGCACAGTCGAAGACGACTCTTATCTTCTTCTTTTGTGGATGGTACACTCCATGATGGGGTATGTACCACACTTTGCCACCATTTGTATCTTCCGTTTCCATTTCTTCTGATGGCACCTTTTCCGCATATCCTCTTTCTATCACAGTTTGCACGAACTGTACATAGTCTTCCTTAAACTTCTCGTCTTTGGACATCTTCTTCTGCAGATGTTTTGCTCTTTGTAGGGCAACTGACTTGTTGTTTGGTAGAACTGGTCTGCTGTTTCTGAAGGGTAGAGGTACTTGATAGTGACCCTCTTCTTTCTTCGTCCCTTCTGACATGATGTTCATGAACCTTTGATCTTCTACAGACATCTCTTTCTTGTCTTCAATCTTCTCGTTGAAGTCGTTGTTGAAGTACTGGGTCAACTGCTGTTCGAGACTGATCCGGTTGACACTTGCCATCTTCCCATCACTGGCCCCCATGAGAGGACCATTAACGGACCATCCCAGCAATGTCTTGATTGCGTAAGGTCCCCCTCCTTGACTGTTGATAATACGCCACGGCTCCATGGCGCTCTGTACGTTGTTACCAATCAGCAAGCCAATATCTGCGTTAATTTTGGGCATCTCTACTTCCCTGAGGTACGGCCAAGCCTTTAGATCCTCTGTCGAGATAATGCGTTCCTTGGAAACTGGTATCTTCTCCTGTACGTAGGCGGTAGGGATCGGAATACAATTATTCCTTTCCATGTCCAGCACTTCCAAGTCGCCCAATACTTCGCTTTTCACCTCTTTGGTGCCATTTATGGTGCTGAGGGACAACTTAGTTTCCCTTCCTTTTGACTTCAACTGCCTTTTCAAGGCTTCTGTACAGATCACTACGTCACTTCCGTTGTCGAGGAGTGCATAGGTCTGCACAGTCTTTCCTGACTTCTTGCTGCGTACTGCTACGGGAATGATGGACGGCACACCCTCCCTGCTCGAATGCTTTACACATCCCACTGACGCTTGCTTGTGAGGTGTGTCTCGATGTAAAACTGTCGGGTGCTGCATTTGACAAGTTGTGCAGGTTGCCTTTTTCCAGCACTCTTTGGCTAGATGATTTGTGCCGCTCAAGCATCCGTAACACAAGCCTTTCTGTTTCACGTAGTCCAGACGCTCTTTGTACGGCTTTCCGCCCAACTTCTTACACACAGTTAAGCCGTGGCTTTCCGAGTTGCAAAACTGGCAGAATGCTCTGTTTTGGTTTGGCTCCGTCGTTACCGCCAGGCTAGAGCCCTTTGCTCGGTCCCTTTGGTAACGGGTTCCTGGATTTCGTTTGAATGACTCCTTGGCTGACTTGTCATCAAACATGTCATTCGATGATACTTGTTCTTCTTGTTTGACGAAGTCTACTAAGTCCTTGAACTTAACCCTTCCTTGCCGTTGGATGTCGTGCGACTTACGTCGCCATCTTTCCTTCAGTCGGTAAGGAAGTTTTCCGACCAAGAGAGCGATGTTGGTGTAGTGGTCCAGCTCTTGGAGATACTGATCTCCCTTCATTGCGTTCAGGCATTTTGTAAGGAAGAGACTGAACTTCCTCAAGGCAGGCTTGTCATCATGCTTGATTTCCGACCATCTCTTCGCCTCTTCAGCATACGCCCGTGATACTTTAAATGGCGTACCATACCGTTCCTCTAGCAATCTCTTTGCTTCTTTAAAGCCTTCTTCGGGGTCCATCAGGACGCAACTTGTTACCAACTCCCTGGCTTCTCCCCTGGTATACTGCCCCAGATAATGAAGCCTGTCTTCTGGGTCCTGTGTCTTATCCTCTATGGCATGCTTAAATGCCTTTATAAACTGGGTATAGCTCAGGGGGTCGCCTTCAAATGAAATAATCGCCCTTGTTGGCAAGCTGCTCTTCTTGTTATGTTCCATCATTAACTTGGTAACCTCTGCTTGTTGGTTTACCAGACCTTGAAGGAATTCTTCTGGTGTCGGGGAATTCTGTTTTTCCCTGTCGCGACGACTTGTCGATGTGAAGCTAGCTGCTTCCGGGTTCAGGGATGTTTGATAGGGCTCCTTCTTCACTGTCGGGGCCGTCCTGAACTGGTCACTTCTTTCCCCCTGATGCTCACTAGTTGGCAGCTCAAAGGGTAGACGGATCCTTGGCTGTGGCTGACCGTATGCCTCAAAGTTGTCAATAACCTTGAGCTTGGCTTCCTCTTGTGCCATTTCGGTTCTAACCTCTAGCAGCTCCTGCTGCCTTCTGAGCTCCATCTCTTCTCTTTTTATTTGGAACTCCCTCTCTTGCAGTTTCATCTTCTGGTCCAAGGCAGCCGCCTTTTCCCTCAACTCAGCCCTTCTTAATTCTGCTCTCAGCCTAGCGCTTGAGGCAACACTGGAACCTTGCGAGCATGCTTGTGACACACTGTCGGACGGTTTGATGCCCGTCTCTTCTTCTTTCTCTGAAGTCAGGTTAATCCACTCATGGACCCTGTCTCTGAACTGATCTAACTCTGCAAAGCGTGGTCCTACCCATTTCTCTGTGTCTTCCTTCAGCTGATCTGCATCTAGAGTGGTCTGGTAATCACCACTGGCCTCTTCAAGGTCACAGTAGGCCTTCTGCCACTCTTCCATATTCTCCTGTACCTTAGATAAGTCGTTCCGTTCCATTAACGATTTTAGCACGTTTGATTTGTGCGTCAGTCGGCCCAGAACTGTCGATCTGTGAGTCTTCTTTCTTCTACTTTCTTCTTCACTGACCCAGTCAGCTTTCTTAGGTACTCGTTTTTGTAAACCTTCTGTTTCCTCCTCTACATGTCTGTCTTCTCTGACTGTAGAGCGGTTCTCGTCTGACTTCTTATCAGCCATTTCCAAATGGCTCCAATTTTTCTTTGCGAGATGCCTAACTTACAACTGTTTAATTGTACTCCTTTATTTGAGTCCTTACGGTATTCCACAGTTCTCCTGTCTGATTCAGCACAGGCCTCTAGAATTTCTTCTAGCCTAACAGGCACCCTTTGCCATGTCAATCATGTAGCTTCCAGTAAGTGTACTCGTAAACTACAAATCTTTTCCAACAGTTCCGATTAGTTTGCTGTTGAACCTGTGTGTTCAAGTGTGCTGCACAATACAATGATACTCAATGGTCTTGCACTTGACAGTTCCTCATTTTACCATTTTTAGGTGGAATAGTCCTTCTTTTCGACTATTAGCTGATTTACGGTAAGTCTTTTAGCAGTGTGTGGTGTGTGTGTGGAAGTATGACCTTCACATCTGCTTAAGCCATCTGGCCTGTCAATCATGTACGACTAAACTTCTCCCAAATGTCCGTATGGGAGCCTTTGTATGCTATCATCCTATGGGTTTTTCTCAACACAGTGTTTATGTGTTGCTGAAATGGCTCTTGTGCTCGGAAATACTGAAATCTTTACCTCCAAAACCGAAGTTGCTTCAATTAGCTGTTTTACGGTAAGGTTCCCTTGTGCAGGAGGGTTCTGCCTGCTTCTCTCGTGGGCGAGGTCATTAATCAAGTCAGCATTCCTACATGTCAAGCGATCAGCACGGCTAGCAGATAAGATTTCTCAGCTCAAGAAACCCTTTGTTCTGCACAACTTTCACTAGATCTCTCTTGATAAAGCAAACACTTTCTTGGAGTTTTCTCATGCACTCTTACGTGCCATGCAAAGTTCCAAGCCTTGTTTCTTCACGTAGATTCCAACTTCTATGGACCTCTAGTGATCTAATTGCAACTAGTCTTTACTGTAATTGCAAACAGTCCTTTACTTCTTCGATGTAACTTCCGTCGAAGACACACAGTTTTACTTGACACCTCCTGTCAAGACCACCAGTTTTACTGTAGTCGCAGCACCACTTTATTACTGTGGCTGCTGCTATTCTGCATGGGATGGACGTATGAGGAAGTGTTACCGAACTCACCTCTGTTGGTCTTCAGGGAAGAAGTCGTACAAACTGATTGGAATACGTCATAAATGTTTAATCTTCAGTAGAGTTAGTAATACAAACTGAAATCCGCCCTGTTCTACTTCCGCCGTATAAGTTCGATGTTTCTGAATTTGCTGGTAGAGTTCTTGTTGGTAATTGTATTCCTAGGGGCAGTTTGATTTCTTGATCCCAATTCAAGGAACAAAGCACAAGTTCTTAGCAAGTTCCTGGTGAATTCTTGGCTAGTTCTTGGCGAGTTCCTGGCGAGTTCTTGACGAGTTCTTGACGTAAAACTGGTATGGTCTCATCGTCCTTCCACAGAATATCCTCTGGTATCTCCTGGACCCTCTCTATCCAGGCCTTTGATAATCCTTTTCTGGATTTCCTGGATCCTTGTATCCAGGCCTCTGGAATACCCCTTTTGGATTTCCTGGATCCTTGTATCCAGGCCTTTGTAATCCTCTTCTGGTCTTTCCTGGGACTTCTGTGCCCAGGCCTTTTTGGTCCTAACTCACGAACCACACCAGACTTCTGTCTCTCTGCTTGTGCCTTATGCACTGCCTGTCGCCTTGTCTACCTAAGTCCCAGACAGACGGGCTCCCCACCCTGGTGCTCAGGGGGGGCAGGGATTTGGCGGGAAGCTATACTAACTTAATCTACTGGCGGGAAATTCAAATTTGGAAGTTGGCACTTACAAATGCCATGCCGCCAGTGGTGACTACCTCCCATGGTAACGCGAAGAATTCTATATACAAGACCGTGCTTTGGTGTGCGCCAATGTGCCAATGTCATAGGGAAAAGTGGTCTATTAATGGGGGTGGGGAGTACCGCAGGGTATCGTATTGGCTACCAATTAGACCACTGGATTGTTTGAGAAGGGGAGGCGCAGTCCAGAAATTGCCAGCGGGGTGAAATATGAAACTGGGATCGCAAAGAGGGCGTGGAGCAAACAAAACAATCAATAATTGGACAAAATCGTTGACAGGTTATGAGATCGAGTCGCAGGTACAGACATACACGGGCACTCATGCATACTGCACGCGACAAGAGGGGGCACTCGAAGCCGAAGGATCCCTTGCTCCCCCACAGCCTTAAAGTAGTCTCCACCAGACTCCTTTTCAGGCTGGGTAAATAGTGGAAATCGGCCTAGAAAGAAATGTAACTGGCAAGGAAAGTTAGCCGGCCATAGAGGATTCATTTTGCTTGATTGGGCCTTCTATGGCCAGGTAACTCCCCTAGCCAGTTACTTTTCTTTTTAGTCCGATTTCTACAATTTACTCAGCCTGCAAAGGAGTCTGGTGGAGACATCCCATACACACCTGACACTACACCTCACCACACCTAGAGACGCTTCTACGCGAGACAAGATAAACACTAAAGCTTACCTATACACGGTGATGACCCCAACGTCGAGCCACAAACTTGCGATGTTGCAACCCTTCACTGAGTTTTCCTGTTGTTCTTGCTGCAGTCTTTAGCTTGAGATCCGCAACACCAAACACTTGCCCTTGCTGGACCCGGCTCCTTTAAGATCTGAGGAAGACGCGTCGTTCCTATCAAGACAAGTTTTCTTAAACCCGACTGTCTTTGCGGTCTCACGATCAGACCGGTTCCCCGCTCTGTCTGCGTAAGTAGACCGGAAAGCTTGTTGTTGTTGGCGTGGATCAGAAGATCGCCCGTCCCTCCTTGAAATAATTCCGAGCTAACAATAACGGGATTTTCCCTGCTCGCAGGATGAGTCTCTGCCAATAGATGACACCTGTTACGAAATCAAAGCAGACAGAGTACTGTAAGGTCACTGTCATCAGGTACAGTACAAAATGTCCAGAATATGTATGATGTACAAAGTGACTAATAAACTTGCGGATGTACCAACTGCTAAGCACCTAATACCAGCTCAAATAGTCATGCCTTCAAGTACCGGAGTTACGTATCAAGCAAGGATTGAGGTGTTCAAAAAACAGTAGAGTACTAGTGGAACTCGCTGCCACCACGTATAGTGGGTTCATCCTCACTAGATAGGTTTAAACAATGTTAAGGTTTAGATGTTCAAAGGCTAGGTGTAACAGGTGTCGTTCGGTGTAAGATAGTCAGCTGCCGCCGCGCCGCGTGCCTGCGAAGCTGGTGTGTTACGCCGAAGGGCGGTTATACCGGCTATACCGATACAGACAAAACATGACGGGCAGAACAAACGCATATCTCAAGTTCCTCTCTGCGTACAAAATATTCCAACTGGTGTTAGTGTAGGAGATATATTGTGACAAAATGCGGCACTCAACGGTCCATGTATTTCTCTTTTCGGTTCAGATTACTTCAGAAGGGATGCATCATAAGGTAAACTTTCACATGCATGATGTTAAGCCATCCAAGCACAGCACAGAACTCCAAGTAGCCACAAACTTGAGATGGTCAAAAAGGACCGTCTGACCATTGACCATCATCACTATGTCTGTATACATACACGAATGACATATGGCAAATCCTAGTTCTGTACGAAAGAGGCAAAGGCTTTAGAAGCTAGACCGAGGAGACAGTAATGCGTAGCTTCTACCAGGTTTCGGGAGGCGGCTGGAAAAGAGTAGAAATTGGCCAAATAGAGAGATATCATACCAGGGGAGTTGGCCAGCTAGCGCCAAACGGTACTCTCTATGTTATCTCATGTTATCTCTCTATTTGGCCAATCTCTTTCCAGCCGTCTCCCGAAGCCTGGTAGCTAGGTAAGCTAATGCGTACTTGGCCGTCTATTTGTGCGGAACCATTCGAATGAAATTTAGTGCTGTACGTGTATCTAGTCTTACCTGACATCTATCGTCCGAGTTTCTATATGTCCTTATGACCCGCATAAGCAGTATCTGTGTCATGTGACATTGTTTTAGGACGCCCGGGTATAGCGTCAGTTCTGAGTAAGCCTTGGCTAAGCCGCGCAAGACCCGTGTCCACAGCACAACAACCCGCTGTGGCACGTCTACATACTACAGGCACGCCACAGGTGCACTGGGCCGTGGGATGGTGCTACTGTATGCTGCTACTCCTCTGTAAGCAGAGGTTTGGGTTTTGGCTTATTTTTGGCGTGTTTTAGGCTTTTTTATCGGGGTTTCTTTTTTGCACTGGAATTTTTCTTCCCCCCCAAAAAATCCAGTTCAAAAAAAGAAACCCCGATAAAAAAGCCTAAAAACACGCCAAAAATAAGCCAAAACCCAATCCTCTGCTTGTTCAAGTTGTTGGGTTGGCGTAAAAAAAATTCCGGTGCAAAAGAGAAACCCCGTTTAAAAAAAAACTTAAAACACGCCAAAGATAATCCAAAACCCAAACCTTTGCTTGGAGAGTACTAGTATTAGTGTTGCTACTGCCTGCCTTACAATCGCCCCCCTCCCCCTTCCACAGCATGTAGGACATGTGAATTTCCCCTGTCGTCTCACACACTGATAGTATTCTCCAAGCAGAGGTTTCGTTGGGGGGATTGGAATGGACGGATTTTTAACGGAGGGAGGGCAGCGTTACAAATCTCGACCATTCCAAACCTCTGCTTGGAGAATACACCAACAGCAATACATGTACAGTCCAACCTGTCCCAAATGACCACTTGACCAACGTGACCACTTTTTGGTGGTCCCTCAGATGATTTTTTCCATACTGACACAAGCGTAAAGAATGCTGTCTATAGCAACCACCTGTTCACACACAGACCAGATTCTATAGGTCCCTTGAGTGGTTTTAAAATCTTCTTGGTAGTTTTCGACATTGCATACTACATTCTCACAGTAGCACGCAATCCGACATAGTTTTTACTACTTCTTCTGAGATAAAATCCCGCAAACTACTAACGCAAAATCACACGGCCATATACCAGGAAACGCCCCTTTAACACTAGCCGATAGATCAATAAATCACCAAATGGGCCATCATCAGATTACAATAACAAAAACCATAGAGCACACCACCAAAAATTAGAATTGAGAATAAGACACATATGGGTAGCTAAACACTAGAAAAGACATCGTTTTGACTATCTACACAATAAAGTAGGAAATATCATTGCTATATTCAGTGATTTTGTAGACTACGTATATATGGCGTACATGTAATAGTGAGAACATCGGTATATACAATTCAGTTAGTTTACTCGCATAATGACATATTGTTGCTTTAACACATCCAGGTTTTAGCGTGTGTATCAAACCGAGCATAAGTAACATACTTTAAAAGATGAGATAAGATTACGTTGTCAAGCCTTTTGAAACAAGTAGTGCAAGTGAATATTAGCACGTACCGTATGCTGAAGTTCCGTGATTGAAAAAAAAATGGGGCACAGACAGCACGTAGAGAACCTGGCGACCACGTAACCTCTGCCTAATCCGAACGTCGAACTTAAGGCATAACGTCGACGTCCTCACACGTTGACAACGCGACAGAGGGCGTCAGAATTGTCCAAAGCCTTCGTTGTATCAACGCTGTAGATTGCCAATCACCACACTGAAGGTACTGTCTCAATCCACGGCACACGGGTTGGCCCTGGTTCGGTAATCACTTGCAGCGACCAAGGGGGTCGACTGTACAATGGCCCGCTTGTCTCACCTTTTCCTATAGAGCTCTCTGTACCGAGTCTTGCTTGGTTCTACTAAAAGGTACAACGTCTCACACTCAGGTCGAACATACGCCCATGTAGATGCAATGTCCTACCGCCACATCACACAGACAACTGCGGTAGCAGCGACGATTTCAGGGTAGAACAGGCGGAATAAATTGTCACACACTGCGCCCTTGGGACGAAAACCCTGCCTCTCCTGTCCTGGCCCAGTCAGGAACGTACAGCGGGGGAAACGCGATACTGCAAGAGTGGTATAATGTATTTACACTGTCCTTTGAACGGGAAAATTCCCGCCGAATCTGATCGGGTCACCTGCACACGATAATAGGGGGCGCCAAGGGTGTGTAATGCTAGCCCTCTCGTCGGAAACCCCTCTCGACACAAGGTATATCATATATATTTTTTCTTGCTTATGTGCGCAATGTATAAACTTTGTGTTTTTGCGTTGCATTTACTTCAAAGATATAGAACAAATTGAAACAAAGAAAAATTCCTTCTATTTTTCTCTCATATCGCTATTTCCCTCTGCTTTGTTGTAGTTAAGGCGTTTGACAATTCTAATCATCATTTTACAAGCAGCTAATCCATTTAATGGACC